GGACATAACATCTTTGTTGGTATGTGGTGCTGAGGATCGAACCCGGGCCGCACGCATGCCAGGTGAGCGCGCTACCGCTTGAGCCACATCCCCAGCCCTTATTCTTTCTTAATATTTTTTATTTTATTAATATTACAGACAGATGCAATATCTTCATTTTGTTCATTCATTTTTTAAAAATTCATTCATTTATTTATTTATTTTCAGTTATTGATGGACCTTTATTTTTATTTATTTTTATGTGCTGCTGAGGATCGAACCCAGTGCCTCGTATGTGCAAGGCAAGCGCTCTGGCACTGAGTCACAACCCAGCCCGCTATGCTCTTATTTTTTTCTACCCCATCACCTTCTCTTCCATAAGTAACCATTTGTAATCATTTTTGGCTTACCCATTATGAATACAGGATGTTGGACTAAAATCTGAGTCTACCAAAACCAAAGGTGAAAGAAGATACAAACACAGTTTGGTGTTAAAGACTGATGCTCCAATTATGACTATAGCCCGAAACCCCAAGAAAATTTAATATCAATATATTAGGTAAAAAAGACCCACTGAGTAAAACTCAAAATCATTTTAGTGCAAAGTAAATGGAAAAAGTAGAGTCAGGGGACAGCACAACTAGCTGAACAGAAGTTTTAAGGTCAAGGCAACAAAGGCATTACATCTTAAGTAGCCCTATTGTAAGCCACTCTAAAAAACTGTCAATTATATTTATATTAAACTTTTAGAATTGGAAGGAAGTTTTGAGATCTCATTTGAAAGCCTCATTTTATCAGTAAGAAAACTTAATTTAATATACTTTAATTCACTGGTATAAAAGATACATATATAGTCGTTTTTAAAAAATATTTATTTTTTAGTTACAGATAGACACAATATGTTTATTTTATTTTATGTGGTGCTGAGGATAAAATCCAGTGCCTCACACATGCTAGGCGAGTGCACTACCTCAGAGCCACAACCCCAGCCCTCTAGTCATGGTTTTTTGTTTTTTTTTTTTTACAGGTCACTATTAAAGGTCTATTATATCTATTCTAAGAAAGGACACAGGAGGGCTGGGGATGTGGCTCAAGCGGTAGTGCGCTCGCCTGGCATGCGTGTGGCCCGGATTCGATCCCTAGCACCACATACAAACAAAGATGTTGTGTCTGCCGATAACTAAAAAATAAATATTAAAAATAAATAAATAAATAAATAAAAAAGAAAGGACACAGGAAGTTTACTTGTTTTCATGAAAGACAAACCCCAAACATCCAAACTCAGGGAAATAAGTATAATCACTCATGAATTAAATTATCAATCCCATGGGATAATAAAGTTTATATTTTCTAACCTATAACATGAGTTGGAGTATGTTATCAAAACATAGATAACAAAAATGAAAAACCAATTGCAACCTTATGCTTACTTTCTCAGAGGCATTAATATAAATAACATATGAAGATTCTATGTCACCAATAAGCTAAGTAAATATTTTGGAAAATCCAAAGACTTACTGTGGCTTTAAACACTTTATCCAGGTTTACATCTTCATTATTCCATATTCTCAAAACCTTAAATCAAAGCATACAGTTAAAAAGTATCCCATCCTCTATTTACATATAATAACCACAAATAGTATATCAATATTTGACTTGTGTTGTATATATTATTATATGCAAGTTTTTAAACTCACCTTATTATCATGTACAACAATATACTCGCCAGTCTGAAAGTTGCACACAGCTGGACATGTTATAACTTGACCTTGTTTCACTGACCAGCTGCCCAAGGGTTTCTGATCTGAAACCTAATGAAAGTAAGATAAAAAATAATATTCAAGAAGTTATTTTTCAGACATTAAAAACAATTAGACTTTCAAAAAATAAGCCATTGTAGTGACAATATTTGACAAATTTCTTTTTTAAAAATATTTGTTTTAGGTTTTTTTTTTTTTTTAGATGGACACAATATCTTTATTTATGTGGTGCTGAGAATCAAACCCAGTGCCTCACATGTGCTAGGCCAGCGTGCTACCACTTGAGCCATATCCCCAGCCCCTGACAAATTTCTTAAGATAAAAAAATAAGCAGTCACAGACAAATACTGTAGGATTTCACTCATATGAAGTATCTAATGATAACTGATAAAGACAGAGGAATGATGGTTGCCAGGGGCTGGTATAATGAATGGAGGGATAAAATTATTATAGGTACAGAGTTTGTTTTGTTTTTTTGGTACTGTGGATTGAACTCGAGGACACTTTTGCCAATGAGATACATCCCCAGCCCTTTTTATTTTTTGAGACAGGGTCTCACTTTGCTTAAGGCCTTGCTACATTGTTCAGACAGGCCTTGAACTTTCAATCCTTCTGCTTCAGCCTCCCTAGTCCCAGGGACTACAGGCATGCATCACCCTGCCAGGTGAGATGATAAATTTTGTCTTTTACCACGATTAAAAATTAAATGAAAACATAAAATAACTACATGACTAAAGTGAAAAATAAAGTACATTAACACTGCTAATTAATACTAATTAACATTTACATTTAAAATTTTATTTCACTATGGGTCTAAACAGGGACATCTTCAATTAAGCAGGGATCACTAGAATCAGGTCCATTCAATTCCGACCAGCCAATACAAATTCACTGGACAGTTGAGATAAAGACCAATAGAGTAACCAAATGCGTCTAAACAAGCAGTACAGGGAATTGTTGTCACCCTAACCCCAAACTTCACAGCAGACAGCTAACTTTTAAATGACAGGGAAAATCATGTTCAGCAGCCTACATAAAAACAACTACTTTCTACAAACCACCCAAACCAAGGTTAGGTGTGCTGCCAATCAGGGAAAAAAGGGGGTGGGACCTGCGACGTCCTGGGACTCTTCTCTGGGATCAGTAGCGTGAACCAGTTGCCCACATACAAACTACTCGAAATTAAGATTCTTACCAGGCTACCAAGAAAGCTAGGCCTCTTCAATGGCCGAAGAACCCCTCATCCCAAGGAATGGGGATGAAGTGGACCGACACAGGCCTAATTCGTGTCCCAGCCTGTCAATGTCCTCATCTGACGCCCAATCGCCCCAGGACCCCTCTACGGGCAGCAAGGTGACAGGCTCCCCAGGAGGGAATCTTGGCGGGGACACCTCCGGGAGACTCGCAGGGAAAACACAGGTTCCTTTCCTTTCCCCGTGTCTCCCACGTGCACTGAGACGCTCCGCCACCAGCAACTCGGAAATTATGCCTTTCTCTACCAAAAAACCCAGTCCAGCCAGATTCTTGACCTCGCTCGGGGTCCCAGGCAGGCTGACCGGGTCTCCGCTCCCGCGCTTCCCAATCTTTTTTGAAGCCGAGAAACCCCAACTTAAGGCTTCCTGCTCAGAAAGGGGCGAGACAGCAGCCGGGGCGCTCCTGTCGCCCTCACCTTATACAGGATGACGGTCCTGCTGCTGTCCGTCACTAGAAACTGGTCAGTTTTGTCGCTCGGCTCCACACCTAGAACTCCATTGGGCCCGGCGCCCAGGGCTCCCACGGACAACGTGAATTCTTCTTCCAGGGCTGCCATTTTGGTCAAACCTCAGGACGGCCGCGCATCCCTCCCGGCAGGCCTCGCGCTTTCTCTCGCGACACCGAAAGGGGCTAAAGGGGCGGGCGCTCACCAAACCTGAAATGGGCTCGCGCGGTCTGCGACCCCTAGCGGGCCAAACCGGAGTTCCGAGCCGAATGACGCCAGGTGGGCGGGGCCTGGGCTTTGCGCCTGGGCCCGCCCCCGGGGACACGCCCCCTCGGGTCCCGGATGTGCTCTAGGCGCGGGTAGTCTTGCCTATTGGGTATTGAATCAGCTGTGCGTCAGTGTGCTTGTGAAGACAGGAGGAGTTTAGAAAGTGGCTGAACGCGAATAAACTAGATTAAGAAAGAAAACTCTTAAGTGAACTCTTAATAGGTGCTGTTCCTGATTGCCTCAGGATTGTCCAGTCCTTGCAGGACTCCGGGTTGACTGTCTCAGCTTGTTCCCCTTGGCAGGGGCGGGGAAGTCTCCCCACTTTATGAGATTTAAAAACTATTTAATGAAAAAAGTGAAGTTGAAAGGCCCCTGGGCAAATTTTGTTTTTTATTTATTTATTGGAATTTTTTTCTTTTTTATTGGTGTATTATAATTATGCATAATTCTGGAATTTGTTGTTACATATTCGTACAGGCACACAATATAGAATTTGATTCCTTTCGTCACCCAGTACCTCCCTTTTCTCTCCCTTCCTCCTTCACCTTGGTCCCCTTCCTCTACTGGTCTCCATTCTGTTTTTTATGAGATCCCATCCCCCTGCCTCTTTTTCCCCTTTTCTCCTCTCTGGCTTCCACGTATGAGAAAAAACATACACTTCTTGATTTCTGAGTTTGGCTGCTTTTACTCAGCATGATCTGCAGTTCCATTCATTTACCAGCAAATGACATAATTTCATTCTTCATTATGGCTGAATAAAATTCCTTTGTTGGGGGCGCTGGGGTTGTGGCTCAGTGGTAGAGCCTTTGCCTAGCTTGTGTGAGGCACTGGGTTTGAGTCTCAGCACCCCATACAAGCAAATAAATAAAGATCCATCAATAACTAATAAAAATATTTTTTAAAAATCACATCATGTACATATATCACATTTTTTTATCCATTCATCTGTTGACAGACATCGAGGCTGATTCAATAATTTGGTTATGTGAATTCTGCCAATATAAACAGAGGTCTGCGTGTATTACTATAATATGCTGACATTAATTCTTTAGAATAAATAACAAGGAGTTGTATAGCTGAGTCATATTGTGGTTCCATTCCTAAAGTCTTTCGGGAAATCTTCATACTGATTTACATAGTGGTTGTACTAATTTACAGTCCCACCAACAGTCTAAAGGTTCTGGTTTCCCTACATCCTCTCCAGCATTTATTGTTATTTGTATACTTAATGGCTCCCATCCTAACTGGAGAAAGATGAAATCTTGGTGTAGTTTTGACTTGCATTTCTCTAATTGCTGAAGATATAGAATTTTTTTTCATAAATTTTTTGGCCATTTATATTTATTTCTTCTTTTGAGAAGTGTCTAATTCTTTTGCCTGTTTATTGATTGAGCTATTTGTTTTTTGTGGTGGTAAGTTTTTTTTTTTTTAGTGTTTTAATATATTCTGAACATTACTCCTCTGCAAGAAGTGTAGCTAGGAAATATTTCCTCTCATTCTCTAGATTCTGTCTTCACAGGTATAACCTTGTTTGCTATGCTGTGATGCCCTGGGCAAGTTTTGGCCAGGAGAAATTTGTGTTTTTAAGATACGCTTGGATGTGTCCAAAAACAATGAATCATGCTAAGGTATGTGTGGGTAATTCAATCAATTATGTAAAAAATAAAAACAGGAAAAATAGGGCTGGGGCTGTACCTCAGTGGCAGAGCGCTTGCCTTGCATGTGTGAGGCACTGGGTTCAATCCTCGGCACCAGATAAAAATAAACAAAATAAAGTCATGCTGTCCATCTACAACTACAAAAAAAAATGTTTTTAAAGTAGAAAAAATAGATAGTAACCGGTGGGGCACATCTGTAATCCCAGCAACTTCAGATTATTTTGAAACAGGGATTCATAAATTGCCCAGACTGGCCTCAAACATGCAGATGTGATTCTCCTGCCTCAGCTTCCCAAGTTGCTGACATTATAGAAGCTTGCCACTGCGCACAGCCAAGTCGTTTATTTTTTTTTTTAAGTGACCAAGGAATTTGATGTTGAAATTTGTGGTCCCTTTGTTAGTGGGAAAAGCGATTCTTCCTGCACTGAGATTCAGCACAGACATCGTGGTTTCTGTGAAATCTTCCTTTTCCTCCCATCACAATCAGCCCGTCTATTGAACCTATTTGGTACATTCTTCCCTTATTTGAGGGTTCAGCCTAGTATCCTTCTCCTCCACAAGTCTTCCTTGACTCTCTGAGACAATTTGATTCCTGACTTTGGAAACCCGTGCTATTGCAACATGTATCATCTGGTTCTGGTACTGATGATAGCATTGGAATTATGCTTTCCTTCTCCAGCTTGAAGACACTGAAGCAGGGGTTATCAAATTTAGTGATTCAGGACTCCTTTACAGTCTTTTTTTTTTTTCTTTTGTACTGAAGATTGAAACCCCAAGGTACTTTACCACTGAGCTACATTCCAGTCCTGTTTATTAATTTATGGTGGTGCTGGGGATTGAACCCAGGACCTTGTGCAGCATTAGACAAGCACTCTACCAACTGAGCTATATCTCCAGCTCCCCTTTTTATTTTTCATTTTTAGACAAGATCTCACTAGGCTGCTTAGGGCCTCGTTAAATTGCTGAGGCTGGCCTTGAACTTGAGATCCTCCTGTCTCAACCTCTTGAGTCCCTAGGATTACAGGTGTGAGCCACCAAGCTGAGCTCTTAGAAATTATTGGGTTATTTTCATGGGTTGTATCTCTAGATATTTACTGTATTACAAATTAAAACTAGAACAAGAGCATATATTGATTATAAAATAATAAACTCACTACAGGTTAACATAAACACCACTTTTATTAATGAAAAATACTTTTAAAAACAACGTAGTGTGAAGGGTAGCATTATTTTACATTTTAAAAAACTCTCTTCAATGTCTTGACTTAAAAAAGGTAACCAGATTCTCTCATCTGCTTGTGCATTCAATCCATCTTGGTATTGTGTTGGGTAGCTTCTGGATAGTTCCATGGCACACAGGAAAAGGCAAATAACATCTTAATATTGTTATGAAAACAGCTTGTTGGACTGGGGTTGTGGCTCAGCAGTAGAGCACTGACTGACCTAGCATGTGCGAGGCCTGGGTTCGATTCTCAGCACCACATAAAAATAAATGAAACAAAGATATTATGTCCAACTACAACTAAAAAATAAAAATTTAAAAAAACCCAGCTTGTCTTTGTGGACCCCCTGAAAGCATCTCTGCATTCCCAGAGGTTCCTGTACACTTTGAGAAGTTCTATACAAATACTTCCACTGAAGAGTAGTGCAGGAATCAAGGTAACCTACCTGGAAAGGAAGGGTTCAAAGCTCCTTAGTTTTTGCAAAAGAGATAAACTGCAAACTTTCTTGAATCTTTGACCCTCGGTCAGGTGCAAGATCCCTGAAGGAGTCTAGTGGAAAGAAGAAGTGGGAGGGCTCCCACACAAGAAGTGAAGGCTGAGTCCCCTCCTCTGATGCTTAGGAAATCTTAGGACAAGGAAAAGAACAGCTGTGTGAAGTTTGCAACAGAATATCTTATGTTTGCTAAGAACTGGAACCACCCTTGATTCATCTCTAGCCCTGGAAAAGGTTATAGGAGGTAAATTCAAAAATTTTTCCTTTCCTTCTTTCTTTCCCCCATTCATATTCATTCTTTCCCTCTCACCTCAATAGCTGTTAGGGGCTGAATTATCTTCCTCTCCTGCAAATTGGTTTGTCGAAACTCTAACCCCCAGTACCTTAGAACCTGACTGTATTTGGAGTCAGGGACATTAAAGAAGTGATTAAGGTAAATGAGGTCCTTAGGTGAGCCCTAAGGCGATATGGTTGGTTTTGTTATAATGAAAGATTGGGGAGAAGGCAGCAGGTCCAAGCCAAGGAGAGAAGCCTCAGGAGAAACAAACCCCAATGAGGTCTTGATCTCAGACTCTCAGCCTTCAGAAAATAAATGCTTGTGTTTTAAGCCACTTGGTCTGTGGCACTTTGTTTTGGCACCTGGACACGCTAATACAATAGGTGACACATTCGCAACATCCCGGACATGAAAAAAACGGTGCCCAGCACCTTCCTACCGCTATCTCTAGCTATCCTATTGTTCTCCCTGGAGAGGACAATTTAAATAGGTGTCGCACATGCACAAGTCATATCTGTGTGTATGTTTTTCTGTGCCTTCCCTTTAGGTAAATGGCAGCATGGCAGATCCATTGTTCTGTTCTTTGCTTTATTTATTTACTTATTTTGGATCTTGAGGCCCAGCTTTCACAGCCCATATTTGTACTGAAAACCAAGATCAAGGGAGCTTTTGCTTTTCTGCTCCACAGGAAATTTCTGTCCTCCCTGAGCTTGCCTTAGTGCTGTTTGCTTTTTTTTTTTTCACTTTATGGACTGTAAGAGACACGTGAATGACGTACATAGATCATTCCATCCAAATGTGAAGAATTTTCTCATCCTGCTTTACTCATGAATAACAGTAGGGAATTGATTTTTGATCGTTTTTGGATTTCATGAAATATTCAGGTTAGATATTGATTAGGTGGTGGGTTCAGGAAGATGTGAGTCGCTTTGACGCTTCACAACAAAAGGAGAAAAAAATAAAGCTCAGAGGGGAAAAATAAAGTATCTGTGAGTGAATGGACAGTATGTGTATATGTGAAATTGAGTTAGGATGGCTTATGTGGTACCGGGGGTTGAACTCAGGGCTTCATACACGCCAGGCAAGCACTCTACCACTGAGTTCTATCCCCAACCCATTTTTTAAAAATTTGAGACAGGGTCTTGCTAAGTTACTGAGGCTGGCCTTGAAAGTGCAGTCCTCCTGCCTCAGCCTCCTGAGTAATTGAGATTACAGGCATGCACCACCACGCTCGGTGAAAGTATGTCTTTTGAGTAGCA